AAAGGGAAAGGAAGGGAAAGAAAAGGGAAAGGAAGGGAAAGAAAAGGGAAAGGAAGGGAAAGGAAGGGAAAGGAAAGGGAAAGGAAAGGGAAAGGAAAGGGAAAGGAAGGGAAAGGAAAGGGAAAGGAAGGGAAAGGAAAGGAAAGGGGAAGGGAAAGGAAAGGGAAAGGAAAGGGAAAGGAAGGGAAAGGAAAGGGAAAGGAAGGGAAAGGAAGGGAAAGGAAAGGGAAAGGAAAGGGAAAGGAAGGGAAAGGAAGGGAAAGGAAAGGGAAAGGAAGGGAAAGGAAAGGGAAAGGAAGGGAAAGGAAAGGGAAAGGAAAGGAAAGGGAAAGGAAGGGAAGGGAAAGGAAGGGAAAGGAAAGGGAAAGGAAGGGAAGGGAAAGGAAGGGAAAGGAAGGGAAAGGGAAGGGAAAGGAAAGGAAGGGAAAGGAAGGGAAGGGAAAGGAAGGGAAGGGAAAGGAAGGGAAGGGAAAGGAAGGGAAGGGAAAGAAAAGGGAAAGGAAGGGAAGGGAAAGGAAGGGAAGGGAAAGAAAAGGGAAAGGAAGGAAAAGGAAAGGGAAAGGGAAGGGAAAGGAAGGGAAGTGAAAGGAAAGGAAGGGAAAGGAAAGGGAAAGGAAGGAAAATAAGCCCTTTTTTTTTGGACTGATCTAAGCAGCTCTCTGTAGAGTGAAGGGCAGAGCAAAAGCTACTAGGAATGCTGACCGCTTTTGTGGAGGGAAGCGTATATGGAGCACCTTAAAGGAAATACAGCCACGGAAATCTTGAAACATGTAAAGTCCTTTTTAAAAATCCGTTAAAAAGGATTAAGGATCTCTATCTTGAATTAGGCTAATGTTTGCATCAACGCTGAGAGATTGTGTCAGTCAAGACCGTGGCCGGGAAGGATTTCTGTGCGCGGCCGGTGCAACGTGCCAGGCTTGCGCGCAACGCGACCCAGCAAACGTGACCTCTGCTCAGCTCGAAATGAGCTACAAGTTTCTCCCGGGGAATTTCCCGGAGGTTTTGTGCCAAACTGCAGAGTGTCGGAATTCTTACCGACCTGCCTACAGCTGGGTGCAGTCAGGTGGTAGTGCCTCAGTTTCCCTCAGCAAGAATTCAGCGCCTAGGCAGCGTCAATATATGCTGAGGTTAAGCTTAAAACACATGAAGAAAAAAACAAAAACCAGTCATGTCTGATTCTGTCTCAAAGCTGGGGTGCTTGCTGCTTCTGCCATCTGGCCAGGTTTTGTGCTTAAGACAGGCCGGAGAACTTTATTCTTTGAATTGTTAATTAGCCACCATGCTAAATGCCACTTCTCTTTGCAGTCTGACTTTGTTCAGCTGCAGCTCCTGTGACTGGATTTAGCCATCTTCTGCCCTCAGAAAGAGTATTTCCTGGCTTCGTATCCATGGAAGGTAAATTTTCTAGTACTCAGTCATTTTTTTTTTCCTACTTTCTATCGAAGTCGTTCCAATTCTTTGGACTCTTCTCCGTTCCGTAGCCCTCGAGCTCGAAATGGTTTCCCCATTCGCACTGACTTCTCGTTCCTGCTGCCCTCCATTTGCTCTTCTCCTGCTTTCATGTCAGGGTATTCCGGGCTCACGGAATGCCAGCGTGCTGTGGTCTTGGTATTTGGTTGAGTTCATGCTCCTGTGCCTCATTATTCCCAAGTGCTTAGATGATAACTCTTTTGGTTTTCCAAATCTGATAGCTTCTGGAACACAGTTGGAAGGAAACGGTGTTAATTGCGCCTATCTACACTTACAGTTTATGACGTTGTTTGTAATTGCAAAACTGGAGACTTTCCCCTCTCTTCTCCCCCTTTCCGCCCCCTTTTCCCCCTCCCTCTGTATTTTTAACCACTTTTGAATCTCACATACTGAGGCGTTATGTAATCTTCCCTGTGGTCCTTTTCCTACAGGCTTCAGCCCTATCTTTGAAGCCATATGACATTATTCCACTGCATGCAGAAGATAATTTACAAATGCATGCCAAAGATTTCAGTTTTCCCTGAGGATATCTGCAAGTCATGTATTTGAGTGTTAATATTCCATATGTTAATATTTTAGATAAAATCTTGTTCTATGTAAAAAGGAAAATCTGCAACCTTTTTTTTTTTTTTTTTCCAAAAAGAAGATTTTTCTGTTGCTAGCGGAACAGTAACAGGATACAGAAGCCACTTCATATCTACAAAGCTCAACTTTGTGCTTCTTGTTGGCTTCTTGAGACTGTGTCCATAATCTATTATTGATGCTAGGCTGTATCACTTTATAACAAGCTTCCATAGCAGCTAAAAATATCATCCATTTCTGAAGTCGGTACTCTGACTTTCCCAAATATTTCCTTTCCCATATTTCCTTTCCCAAAATATTGAACTCAAACTGCCAAGTATTATTCTGATTACACCAGAAATATCATTTTCCGTCAGCTACACTTTGTCTCGAGCATTTAACGTTTTCACTGGATATTCAAGTTTCGTGGGACAGCTCATGCTTATCTTGCTGTGCGCGGGGGAATGTCACTGTGGTTCCTGCCTGAAGAACCTTTTCTCCAGGCCCTCTTTTCCCTTGGAATCGCAGCTGCTACCTGGCCCGCTGTGGAGTAAAGGTTTAGAACTGAGGTGCTTTCAGCTTCCTAGGTCTCTTGGTTGATGATATGAGCGGCCCCCGAGCTGCATATTTTGGGGTTCCAGGATGGGCCCCGTGTTGCGCCGGGTAACCTGCCTCGGAGGCGCTTGGAGCTGTCGCTGGGAGCCAGCTCAGGTACCAATTTAGCAGGGATTTAGGGGAGTCTGACCCTCTTCTTCTCTCATTAGCACTGCATCCTGTGACCCGTGTTCCAGGTCGTGTGTTCCGTGGAAGCTGCGCCCCTGCCCCCTCTCCCCCTTGTTTCCCATGTTGGGGTCGTATTCCGGGGCATGTGCCGGTGTGGGGCACCACATCGCTGATCACTCTGTGTGCCTCAGCCAAACGGGGCGTTTGTTGTTTAAATAGGAACTTGGGCTGGCCCTGCTTTTCTGCTTAGCCATCAGTTAAAGTATATAACGTTTCTCATATAAGTGTCCTCTTTCTGCACTGTTAAGGTTCTCCAACTTCAGCCGATGCCTTTGTCCCATTCCCAGTGTGAGAGAAACGTGAACACCTGCAGTGGGCCAGCATGTGCGCTTACTTGTCGAGTAACCCCTCTCTTTTCTAGGTTTTGCTGCTCTAAAATTCTCTTTATCTGATACTTCTTTATCATAAAAAAAAGGAAGTGGGAAATAGAGTCAAAAACTAGAGCTAGTGTGAAAGCTATAAAACAATTACATAATGAAGTAATTATTTTTTTCCGTCTGTGAGAATTAGTATCAGGTGGTATAGGCAGAGATTCTCTCAGGTTATTATCCAGGTAATTTTGGCAGGTCTTGTGAGAAGAAAAGTTGGTGCAGGGTTGACCTTCGCATTTGAGTTAATTTGGAGTTGGGCGTTTATGAAGAAACGGGGATTTTAGTGAATTACTCCGAGCTGTGTCAAGTCTTCAGATGTAAATCAGATTGCCTCCCAGCCTACCTACCTGCTCATTCATAATCCACCTGTCAGCAATGAAACTGTTTTGCTTACAAAAAGTTTTCAGAGCAATTTACTACGGTTATGAGACCATTTTAGTCCTGTGTATCATCAAATATGAAATATGTTTGTTCTTCAAAACCTTGTAATTTGCTCACCCTATGGGACAGGTATTATGTTTTAGAGTTGTTTTACAGTCTAAACGGTGAAGTCCTTGTGGTCTAGAACAGTCTTATAATGCAAACTATCTACTAATAATAATTCTTCCTTTCTTTCTATTTCCCAGCGTCTTTGAGGATGAGAGCATGAAACTGCGGCAGCTGAAACTAGAAAATCAGGTAAATGATGCAGGAGCCGGCAAGAAAGCAGGACACAAACAGTAGCCACCGCTCTTTTCTAAGCAGGGGGGAGATTAAATTGTATGTCCTCTGCTTTCTCCCATTTTTCCTCCTGACAGCCTGGCCTGTTGTTGTGATTTACTTAGACTTATTTTTTCCCTAGGGCTACATAAGGTATGTGGTGTCAGTGAATCCTGCCCTCATTCTGAGATGTGTATGGCTGTATGTGGATTCAGAATCATTGTCGTGAAGATTGAAGAATTTGGGTGATGGAATTAAAAATACTAGGCCTAAGGAACACAAAGAGAACTAATTGCTAACAACTTCTCCGTGTAGATTTTCCTGGATTTTGTTAGTTTGAAAATCATCCTTGCTATAGTTGGTAGGCTTAATTTCTTTGATACATTTATGTTTCATATAGAAGCTCATATGGCTGGGAATGAGGAACCACAAAGCAAGATTTAGTCGAAAGAGAGGAAAGTCTAGGGAATTATCCAATTTAAACATCAAAGGAAAATATTCTTTCAGCTATAAAAAGATTTCCTTCACCCTGATGTTGTGATAGATTTCCAACATCTTTATGCCTTTTTTTATTCTCTTTAAGAATGCACTTACAGACAAATGTTTAGCATGTATCCTAATACATAAAATGTTTCTGTTTCTAAACCAGCTGAGTGCTATTTGCTGAATGCTCTTTGAAGCTGTAATGTATCCCTCCTTAATATTCTGCTTCTGTGACATTTTAAATGCCCATAGATTAGAAGGCTTGAGATGCAAGATTATGATCATCAGGCTGGTCATTCCACATACACCAGAAAACAGTGCATACAGTTCAGCTAGATAGATCAAAAAGCTGAGTTTGAATTCAAGTATGGTTTTTAGAAAGGGCCTTCTATTTCAGCAAGGATTTTTAATCCACATATAGAAGTGTTTAGGGAACTATTCCAGTGGATAATAACTTCCTTTAGCAGTAGGTACTCCTTTACCAGAGTCTCCTCTGGAGATCTTCCAAACCCGCCTGGATGCCGCCCAGTGCCCCGTGCTCTGGGTGACCCTGCATGTGCAGGGGGGTTGGACTGGATGATCTCTAAAGGTCCCTTCCAACCTGAAGGATTCTGTGATTCTATGAAACCAGATTATTAGCTAAAATAAACGATATGGTGAGCTTATTATTCCAAGATGAAGTTCTATAGACTTGGATATAGTCTGTGCTATCACAGTTACTATGAACTTCTTTAAGTTTGGTGATGACAATTAATCTTAGTAGGCACAGGACCTACCAACCTGAAACAATTCTGGGATTCTTGGATTTGATTCCCCCTCAGTCTTTTCTTCTCCAGGCCTAACATGCCCAGGGAGGCTGTGGAGGCTCCTTCTCTGGAGATCTTCCCAACCCGCCTGGATGCCGCCCTGTGCCCCGTGCTCCGGGTGTCCCTGCTGGAGCAGGGGGTTGGACTGGATGGTCTCTAGGGGTCCCTTCCAACCTCAGCCCTTTTGTGACTCTGTGTGTGATTCTTTGTACCTCCAGACCAGGCCAAATGCCATTCACTAGTAAGATTAAATAATAACGATGGTCAGAGGGCTTCGTGATGGTACCTGGCTGTTATTTTCTAGGTTGATATCTTGTGTCTGAAGTTTTGTTTCAGACTTTTAAAATTTGATTATGTTGGCAATCACTTGCAGAATTCATGGCTAGAAACTTGCAGTAAAACCATATTGTAAACATATCCTGTTCCCCCCAGCTATACACCTTGCAGCGATTTGATAAGAAATGTTAATGGTCTCTTATTTGTGATTAGATATTTAGGTTGGAATGTTAGCTCTGGAAATCTGCTTCTAATATTTTCTTGAATAATAACATGCCCTCTGAAGAAACACAGATGTGATTAGCAGATCACCAGCAGGCCCTGAGATGGGCTGATTGAGCATCATAGCTAATACTTCACCTAACTGAATTTGAGTCCAGCTTCATCATGTTTAAAACCTTTGACCACACTGAGAATCTGATTTTTTTTTTTTTAATTCCATCTTAGTGGGGTAAGTTTCAAAAGAATAGACAAGTCTGAGGGTAAAGCTGCTCTGCCACCATGTGTAGACAGAACAAACTGCTGCCAACCGTCCTGTCAGTGGGCTAGCAGATTTTCTACATCTCATGCAAGAGAAACCACTATTGCTTGAGAGAAGGAAGAAGAAAGGGCTCTAAAAACACTTATGCCCTAAGGGATTGTATTGGTGCTCTTTATCTGATGGATGCTTGGAGACTGAGGAGAATTTGATGAAGAAAGAGCGTTTTATCCTCCTGAAGAGGAACTTTCAGGAGGTTTTTAAGGTGTCTAATAAGCAGACAGGGATAAGCTGCACCTCCAGCAGAGAACTTGCCCATCGTTGGGCAGAGTGGTGCATTACAGAATATTGCAATACGATTCTGTCCTTCATGCGCCTTACAAGTTACAAGAATTAAGCACATGTGCCTTTAAAATAATTGATATTCCCATATACCTTGATTTGTCTTCAGGAGTTGTTTCTACTTTTGCTTGCTAGGAAATTGTGAGCATCAAAACATATTGGAAAAGAATCTTTTTGTTTTTACAGTTCTTTCCTTTCAGCTCAAATTACATGGGAAAAGTTTGCAAGGTAGATCAGATTTCCTATCACCGAATCAAGTCCAGTATATTAATGACTGAATTTTCTGTCTCCTTCCCTTCCTGTTAGTTTGCCTGTTTTTCCTCTGCCAGTTTCTGAGCTGTGTGTTGTGAGCTCTCCCTATTAGATGACAGCTCTTGTCATATCTTTTCCCTTTGCAAATCTTAATTTGCTGGATTGTGAAGGTATTCATAACTTCAGCACAGTGAACTGAATGATAAAGCCTTGGTTAAGGGTTTTTAGAAATGGTGTATGCTAGTATAAGTCTCTGTTGCCGTGTAATGCCTGGGTCAAAACCGGTCATCTTTAATGTGACATTTTCTGATAATCTTGGAGATGAAACCTTAGCAATATAATAAACTTGTTTCTCTTAATATGAACTTTGTTTAATTGTACTGAACGGTGAGGGAAAAATATCCATTCCCTAAGTGCACCACAAGTTGTTATCCTAAGAAGCAGGGTAGTAGTTCCATCATTACATCATGCAGCAAAAAGAATGGAGAGTCCTTGTGAGCTGCTGGATCTGCTCTATCCGCTTAAATAAGTATCATGCACAGAGTAATAAAATCAGACAAACATGTATATTGGAAAATTTGCTTTGTGAAGGGCTTCATATTGCATTCGAAATGACTCTGCTGAACTTATCTCTATGTGTATGAAGGATTTGTGCAGTTTAGACCGAATAAAAGGAGTTAAAATAATTTGCTAATGGCCTCAGGATAGAGCAGTAAATGAGGAAGTGTCGTCATGCCCACTCCCCACCGGTGGGACAATCAAAGGCAGCCTCTCGCTCCAAAGGCATTGGAGCCGTGTCTGTGTCTAGGATTTCTGCTAGATTAGAGCATTCCAGGTTGCTCAGTGATCTTAGTTAGTAACATGCCCTTGCTAATACCTGCTCTCAGCCCCTTTGGATCTGGTTGCTCATCCCTATTTCATGCTCTGCATTTCAGAGAGCTCTCCTGGAGAAGAAGCAAAGGAAGAAACGCCTTGATCCCCTGATGGTTCAGCCAAATCCTGAGGCAAAGCTGCGTAGGTCAAAGCCCAAAGGGTGCGAGGAGCAGGCTCCTTTAGTAGAAAACCCAATTCCTTTCTGCAGTGAGGCTCCATTACGTGGTAAGCAAACACTGTGATTGCAGTACTTCCCAAAAAAGCCAGTGCCTGCACGTCATGGCAGAGATGGTCACCTACATTGCTGTGATGGTGGTCTGGGAGAAACAAGATTGATGACACATCTCTGTGAAAAAGGAGAATTGTACCCCAGCGTGGCTGAGCACTGCTGAGCTGCAAAAGCAAACAAAAACCTTATCTTGAGGTTTGTGACAGCTGAGAATCCTCTGCCTCCCAGTAATCTCCCTTTTGTGTTAGGCTAAAAGCAACTTCCAAAATGAGGTAGGAGCTTCTAGAAAGGTAGGGAGATAAGAATCCAGAGGGAGATATTAGTGTGCCTTAAGCATTTCAGCTCTCATAAAAAAAAAAAAAAAAAATACAATCATGGTATTTATAAATGGGGAAAACTGATACCTGACATGTTTAAAGCAAGTTGCTCATAATTTCCTGACCCAAGTTAAGTGAACAAAAATAAATTGGTAGTTTAAGGAGAATCTCGAGCAAAGAAAGATTAAATGAGGGATTATCTTGGGACACCTCTGTAGTGGTAAAGTTTTAGGCTTCTGGATTCTCCTTAATTTTGGTCTGCAGGCATTGATGGACCAGCTGCTTTCCTGAAATCCGAAGTGCAAGATTTAGGGAGCAAACTCCAAGCTCTCTCTGCTGGATCTTCCATAACAGAAGACAACGCAGATCAGGAAAATGATGGAGAGGCCCTTACAGAAACATCAGGCAAGCCAGATCTGCAAGAACTCCTACAGAAACGGGGTAAGATAAGGGGACAGACTTCTTTTTCTTTATTTTAATTTTAAAAATTTTCCAGTAACATTAAAAAGTATGGGATGGTGGAGGGTAGAGGAGGAGGGGAATATCATCAAGCAGATGTCTGTAGGACTTTCCTCTGAAACACACATTTAGTAGTTTCTCCATTCTGTGGTTAACTGCAGTTTCTCTTTCCTGACATGCTGGTATTAATTAGAGAGCTAGTTACATTTTAGAGCTTTTTAATGTCTTCTATTATTTCTGGCCTTTCCAAGGAAGATGGTCACAAAGCTGCACTTCTCATTTTGCTAAAGTTCAAGATAATTTTATTTTAGATTATCATATATAGACTTCTAATACCCGATGACACAGGGACCCTTTGCAATCAATAATGCTGCACTTAGTTAACTGCAGAGGAGACCTTCACGAAAGGTGCTCTTCCTGCATCGGAGCATGCCACAGTCAGCAGGTTTGGAGTTGTATTTTCAGTAGTTGGAGATGCACACCTCACATTCGAGTGTCCATCCATCTCTGCCTGCCACTGTCTTACCTTGCTGCCAGGACCACAAGAAACCTGTTTGTTGCATGCTGTGCAAGCACTTTGCAGAAAAACAGAAGTGCCTTGGTTTCATATGGTACACAGCTTGTTTTATTTGGTAAAACCTGTCTCTTGGAATGTTTCCAGAACACCATATGAATTAAGATACTAACATATGTAGAAACACTCTGCAACACAGCAGCTGTTTGCCTATGGATAGCAACATTATACAAGAGTCAGGACAGGAAGCAGGATAGAATGCCTAAATAGAAACTTCAGGGGAAACTGGTAGAGGGAGAAGGTAAACAGTGAGCTTTGAAGCTGGCCGGAGCACTGTGATTAAAGCCTTTCCCCTTTCCAAAGGTACTTTGGGAAGTTTTTGGCAAGTTGTTAAAACTACGTTTTTCTGTTTCATCTGAGAAAACTTCCATCGATGCCCTTTGTTTTCAGTGCCATGTTGGAATATTGCTCTGTTACTGGTTCATAGGAAAGGACTCGGATCAACAGCCCGATGCTGTTGCTATTCTTTAGTACTTTGTGCACTTTTCCATTTCACAGCTGAATCATAGGAAGGAAATCACAGAACAAGATGATGCAGCTCCAAGTGGAAGGAAACTCCAAACAGTAATGTGTACAGAGTTCTTCCTAAATTGCTTTAGCCAGAGTTATTTTAGTTATATACCGCGATCATGAATGAAATCATAAGCTAAGCAATAGAGTGCATCATATAAAATGTGTAGCGATAAAAGTCAAGCAGCTGCTTAATCATCGGCACAGTGAAAAGTATCCCCAGTGCTTTGAAATCGAAGGCTTGGGAAGCAGTATTCCACAAGAGGAAAATAAGCAGTTGGAACAGCTGAGATGATGAGGTTAGGAGCAGAAGAGCTCTGTAAGTGGCATGTGTGAATTAGGGATTCCATGCACTTGTGATGCCTTCTTTCAGAGGTTGCTTGCTTGATCCTCTATTCTGACAGGAATTTCAGGCAGTTTGAATTTTGATGAGGAAGACACAGAAGAGGATGAAGAAACTAGTAAGAGGCCATGTCCTGAATCTGAGAGACCTAGTTCTGCAAGCAGCCTGAAATCTTCTGCAGTAAGTGTCATGAAATCCATTTCCAGTAAGCATTGGGCACATACTTGTGTTTTGGTACTCACACTTTGAGTGCTATGTTAAAACACAGTAGTTGCAACTGCAGTAGTTTGTGCTCATTCCTGAAGGCAGATAAAGGTCAAAATCATCAGGTTTTCTGACTGGCAAGTTGCACACAAAGACCTAGAGATCAAAGGAGCAGTGGCAAAGGAGTAGAAGTTATCTTGAGTGAAGAAAAGACAGTGATTTAGCTACTCCTCAAAGACCCTTTAAGGAGACAAATGAGTCAATTGCCTCTGGAGTGAATCTCACCAGGATGACAAAGAGTAACTTAACTCTCCCTGTGAGACAGATCTGTTCAGAGTCTTTCCTAAGATCAAAAAAAAAGTCTTCAGCCAGGGTTTTTCTCAACAGAGAAACACAGGTGGTTTTCTGATAAACTCCTCTTTCCCAAATATCCTTCTCTTGAAATATAAAGCCTTCTGTTTCAACTGACCATTCTTTTCTTGGTCAATACAACAGTCTCTCATCTGATAATCTGCTAATATGATGCCTCTCCCCACAGGAAACAGGTGCTTCCTGTACTCCAGCCCCTCAGGCAGATGCACAGCTGGGAGAGGTGGAGAACTTGGAGGACTTTGCATTAAGTCCAGCGCCCCGTGGTGTTACCATCAAATGTCGAATCACTAGGGATAAGAAGGGAATGGATCGGGGCTTCTTCCCTACTTATTACATGCATCTGGAAAGGGATGACAACAGAAAGGTATGGGGGCCAGCGCGCAGTATTTTGGCTAGGGGACTCCTACCACAGACCATTTTTGGTGAAATGGGGAGGAGTGCATAAATTAAGAAATTATTAAAAGCTGAGGAGGAAAAGGATGCTGATGAGAACTGCTTAGCTTTGGCACTAAGCAAGGTTTAGAAGCAATAGCATAGTGAGAAGGTGAAAAACCAAAGTATAAAAAGTTACAGGATAAAGGTAGAACGGAGGGGCTGAGTTGCTCCAGGAGAAAAGGAGGGAAGATTTAAAAAAAAAAAAAAAAAAAAAAGAATTGCTTTGAGTCTAGACTGAGGGAGCTAATTGCAGGATTGGGATTTCAGGCTCTTCACTTGCAGAAGAGGTCAAAAGTTTGGAGACAGTAATGCCAGCACGGAGCAAAAATGGGAGTGAGTGAGGGGAAACAGCCGGCAGTTTGGGCAGCGATGCCGAGTGATGTGTTCTTTGAAAACTCCAATTTTGATCAAAGTTTTGCATTTCCAGACGTTCCTCCTGGCAGGGCGAAAGCGGAAAAAGAGCAAAACATCAAATTACCTCATATCAGTTGACCCAACTGACTTATCTCGGGAAGGGGAAAGTTTCATCGGAAAACTCAGGTGAGAGCCACAGATGGAAAACAGAGCCAAATATACAGCTTCTGAAGTAGCAGAGATTGGATTTCTGGGATAGTTGATTTGGAATTGCAAATAACAGTAGTGAACTGATGATGCACAGGGGAGTGCCTGGAGATGTATAAGCAGTTTCACTATGCTGCACAGCTACCTTCAGAAGCTGACAAAATTTACCACTGATGCATCTTTCCCTTTATGTCTCTTCCCCTTATCTGATCTTAGGTCAAACCTCATGGGGACTAAATTTACAGTCTATGATCATGGAGTTAACCCAGTCAAGGCACAAGGTCTAGTGGAAAAGGCTCACACTCGACAGGAGCTTGCAGCCATTTGTTATGTAAGTATAGTGCTTCTCTCCTTTTTGTCCCCTTCATTTCTTGTAGCCCAACTTCCAAGGAAGTTGTACATATACTCTTAAACAAAAATAGCAGAGCCTAAAGATCAATTGTTCATTCTTCAGGAACATTCTATAGTTATCTAGATAAGATGAAGACCCAGTCAAAGACTCAAGGATGTTATCATGTTTAAGCCTTCTTCACCTTCACTAGCAATATTTTAGCATCTTCTTGCCTCAGATGCCATTTTTTTTCCTGAGATCACCCTTGTCTGATTTTATGGTAAGTGTTTGTTTCATTAGAACAATAGAGAAGTGCTCCAAGTTAACTAGTACTATGTATGTCTTTAAGTAGTACTATGTACGTCTCAAGTTCTCAAAATGGAGAGAGGCAGCTCTTCTCAGCAGTAAATGTAATTGCACTTAATGTAACTGCCAGCACAGTTGTAGCTAACAAATCTGTACAAAGCAGTACAGATGGGAACTTAAGATCAGTTTTGCTGTCTTCCTTCAGTGAGAGAGAGTATCTAATTTCCTAAAAATACTGTCTTTGTTATCTTTCAGGAAACCAATGTGTTAGGATTCAAGGGTCCCAGGAAGATGTCTGTGATCATTCCAGGAATGAATATGAATCATAAGCGAATCCCAATCCGGCCACAAAGTGTGAGTTTGGTCACGTTTCTGGAGGAAAGAGGCTAAAACTTTCTCCTAGAGATCTGGCTGCTACTGACAATTACAGCTGTCCAAAGCAAGGTTGTTGATGGCAAAGAGTGTTGGCAGGTTTCATGGCCAGGAAACCTTTTACCGTGCAGTGAAAAGGTCTTGGTTGATGTCCTTGCCTTTTACCTCACTTGTACACGTCTTTGTCTTTATTGGTGAGACCAGCCCTTGGGATCCCAGAGTGGCTGATACTCCAGGGGGCTGAGCCTCAGAGGTACCTCAACAGGCTGGAGGGATGGGCAGAGGGAAACCTTACGAAATCCAGTGAAGTGCCAAGTCCTGCATCTAAGGAAGACTAAGGCCATGCACCAGTTTGGGCTGGGGTTGACCTGCTGGAAAGTAGCTCTCCAGTAAAGAACGTGAGAGTGCTGAAGGGCAACAAGTTGAGTTGACCATGAGCCAGCAATGTGCCCTTGTGGCCAAGAAGGCCGATGGTATCTTAGGCTGCCTTAGGAAGAGAGTTGGCAGCAGGTCGAGGCAGGTAACTGCCCTCCTCTACTCAGCCCTGGTGACGCTGCATGTGGAGGATTGGGCCCAGTTTGGGGTTCCCCAATACAAGAGAGACCTGGAACAACCGGAGGGAGTCCAGTGAAGGGCTACTGAGATGATTAGGGGACTGGAGCACCTCTCCTATGTGGAAGGGTTGAGAGACCTGGGCATGTTAGGCCTGGAGGAGAGAACACTGAGGGGAGGATGTAAGCGACCTGTAGGTACCTGAAGGGAGGGGGTAAAGAAGGTGGGACCAGGCTGTTTTCAGTAGTGCCCAGTTATAGGGCAAGAGGCCACAGGCACAAGCCGAAACATGGGAAGTTCCATCTGAAAAACAGGAGAAGTTTTTTTATTGTGAGGGTGACTGAGCACTGGAGCAGGCTGCCCTGAGAGCTTTTGGAGTCTCCATCTGTGGAGATATGTATGATCTGAGCAGTGTGCTCTAGGTGACCCTCTTAGTGGGGCAAGGGATGGATGGAGGGTGGACTAGTTCATCTCCAGAGGTTCCTTCCAACCTCAACAATTCTGAGATACTGTAAAAAGTCTATTTGAAGATATTTTAAAGTGTGGGATGAAAAAAAGACTTCTGGTTCAGATCTCCCTTACGGTGGGTTTCATGTTTAGTGTGATAGAGAAGAGGGCAGGTAGGACTGAGTAAATAGAGATATTGTCGGTGTTATATTCTAGAAAATAGTATTTGCAACAATGTTTTGAGTGGATATTACAAGACAAAAAAGAATCTTTTAAAGAGTGGAACCTGAGAGTCATATGAACTTGAAAAAAATATATATTAATTTTGTGGATGGGAGAATTGAATCTGGAGATGATCCCTTATTCCTCATCTCTCTATTGGTATTTTCATCTCCATCAAAAAGTAGAGTAACCATTTCATTTTTTTCTCGCATTTTCCTCAATGTTTTGTTAGCAGGTAAGCATGACTGAAATGCAAAGTTGTACTGAGAAGCTGTCACAGCCCTCAGGGTTTGACATTTTGGGTTTGTTTCCTTCTCTGCAGTCTGGTGCCAGCAGTTAAACAATCTTGTTCCATCTTTTAAAGAGGAAAAAAAAGTGTTTCTAGATGATGTAGATGATGTTCGATGGTTATTCTCAAAGTTCTCTTTGCATCTTTATAAAATTAATAGAAAATAAATATAAAAATGAGGATATAAAGTAAGTAGATTAATTTGAACAATAAGCTTTAATGAAAATTTAAAAATTGATTATCCTCAAAAATCCATTATACACTAATACCAGAGTATATGACATAGTTGTATTAGGGAGACGTCTATAAAAGGTGTTCCTTGATCATCTTCCTTAAATAATTTCAAAATGTCAAATTGTGTTCTTCTTTTTTTATTGGTAACTTCTGGCTTATTTCAGACTGGATTTTATTTGTTTTATAACTGTTAAATCACAGATCATTTGTTTTCCTCACTACTGTTGGCAGTGCGTTATCATTCCCTCTCTTTCTCAAACATAACGTGTTGTTTTGTTGCTTTATCACTTTTTTTTCCCTCATCTCTATGTTTCATATGGGATCTTGATGGGAGATCTTCTCCCATTAGATCTGGTTGGATGACATTTAACTTTTTTAAGGCATAGTTACAGCCCACTGTAGCCTTTAGACTTCTTACTAAAACTCTGGAATTAAATCAGATGATTTTTCTTTGGTTTAAAAGTTACAAGGTTGCAAATGGGAGTTGGATCCCTTTGGAAAAAGCTTGTGTGAGTCTTGGAAATGATTCTTGCTAACAGGGTAATATGCTGGGCAGGGGGGAAAAGTGATACCCATGACCTGTGGAGCTTACACTTGCTCTGTCTCACTCTTCTTTTTCTTTTAGAAAAGAATTTAAGACAGAATTTCAGTGTTGTCATTGTGCCCTGTTAAACAGGGAATGACTTTCAAGTGGTAGAGCGCACACATCTGATAGAGGCAGTACTTAAAAACAGATTCATCCGATCAAATCTGATATATACATTTATTTCCCTGGAACAGGAGCATGAGAGTCTGCTATCAAAGTGGCAAAGCAAAAACTTGGAGAACCTCATTGAGCTGCACAACAAAGCTCCAGTCTGGAATGATGATACTCAGTCTTATGTGTTGAACTTCCACGGGAGAGTCACCCAGGCCTCAGTGAAGAACTTCCAGATTGTCCACGACAACGACCGTAAGAGTCTCTAAGAGTCCCCTAGAGTTGGGGGATTTGTCATTACAGTATGGAAATCCCAGGATATGCTGTAAGGTTTGGAAGGTGTAGGACTCCCTTCTTGGAGAAGGGGGATAAAATGGAGAAATTTTATGCAGGGTGGAGTTGGGGATTCCCGATCCATTAAGCAAATGATAGGAGAATTCCCTTTTTTGGGGTGGGTGCAGAGGCTGCTGTCCACAGCTGTGCCAAAAAAAGGGGACAAATTTAAGCCTCCCAAAGGGAAAGCAAAGGATTAACATGGCACCTTCCGCCCTGCCAAAGAGTAGCTTGAGCCTTGGCTCTGGAAAAGAAGGTAATTTCAGCAACACAGTCACTCTAGAGAACAGATTTCAAAAACAGTTTGGTAAGAAGCAACCAGGTTTATTTGGTGTACACCAAACCACTGACTGCTGGTTTGGTTTGGTTGTTCCTAGGTTTTGCCTCCGTGTGCAATTGTTGGTCTCTGAGTGTTTCTTTTCTCCCCAGCTGACTACATTGTGATGCAGTTTGGCCGCGTAGCAGAAGATGTGTTCACTCTGGACTATAACTATCCTCTCTGCGCTCTCCAGGCCTTTGCCATCGGGCTCTCCAGCTTTGATAGTAAACTGGCCTGTGAATGAGCGAGGCGGCCGAGCCGAGCCGCGGAGCTGCCTGCCACCCCTGCAGCTGCTGCCTGCGCTCCCGGCGGAGTGAGGAGAAGTGCCCTGAGGGTGGAAGGGAACTGGAGGACCAACTTCCGCAGGCTCAGCGGAAAGCAAATTGCCACCCCAAGGGCACCGTGGTAGTTGACACTAGGTTGGCTGGGGAGACTGTCCCGAGACGGAGCATTCCTTGTGTGTATTATGGAAGGAGAAGGCATGTGCATAATGGTTTGGGTGCCGGGATTAATCCCGCTTCCAGAACCTCAAAGCAGACGTTGCATTAGGGCAGGCGAAGGTATTTGGGCCACTAATTGGAACCTGTTCAGTTTGGATGAGAAGAATAGTGGTTTAATGCCCAGGGACCTCGGATCTTCACTAGTACCCCTGGAGTTGATGCTGCTGATGTGGCTCTCAGATCCTGGAGAGATTAATTCAGGAATAGGAGGATAGTTATGGCATGGATTCTGTTTTGCTCTGTGTGTTTGTAATCTTGCTGTCTGTTACAACACTCAGAGAAAGAAATGGAAGGGTTCAGCTGATGCCTCTGCAATTGTAGGCAGTTTTCAGCCAAGAAAGAGCTGGAGCAAGACACTGGTTTTAATAATCCACTTCTCTCTTTATGAAGAACAATTCTTTGTTACGGCTGATGGTCAGGTTTACTTTCACTCTTCTAATGGCTCCATATCCCTCGACAATCTTAACAAATTAAAAAGGATCAGAACTCAAATAGTCCCTTCGTAGTTGGTGATACCCATCTAAGTTATATGGGGATATCCACATAGCCCTTCATTTTGTTGTTCTTAACTACTTGAGAATTAGATTGAAGAGATGATGGAATCTGACTGAATGTAGCTGAAAGTTGTATTGTAACAATTTGCAATTACAGTACAATTTACAGTACTGTTCCTGAAAAGCAGTTTTCTGACTAAATCTACATTCTAAGCAGACCTTTTTTTTAAAAAAAAATACACATTTGTAAAATTTGGCACATTTTTAGGAATAAGATACTGGCAGAATTCCTTTTTTTTTTTTTTTTTAAATGAGATTATCTGAAATCAAAGCCTATTGAAAGATATTTTATGCAAATATTTTTAATCTGAATGTAGGAAGGAGAAACCTCTTTCCAAAGGACAGTACTGGTGTTTTCAAAGGCACCAGTATGTTTAATAAATAAATAAATAAAGAGCTGCATCATGGGGCTGTGCAAAGTGTCCTTCCGCTGTTCCACGTTTAATGCTGGATTGTACAATACGGAGAATGCAGGACCTAACACAGAACATTTCTTGATTCAAGTGGCCTTGTCTCTTCAGAATGAATTGCTGCACACTCTCCTATCAGCCTCTCAGACCACACATCAGCAGTGTAGGAAAATTCCCAGCCATTATGCATGTCCCTGATGATTCTGGAAAACTGTATCTCTGCGCTGGACCGAGAGTAGCTGTTCTCCAACTATGCATATAGTCCTTGTCAACAGACTAACTGCTTCGCGCTCCCGAAGGACAGAATTCCTGGTTTGGGTCTCCTGACTCCACACAGTGGTGGCTATCCCTTGCTTGTTCAAAATAATGAAAAATTGCAAAGACTTTTTCTCGTATTGCCAGGAAAGAGAAGTATTCATCATAGTTATCTGAAATTCTGTATCCAGGTGTAAACTCTGAATTGTTGCTGAGGGCTCCAGCGAGATCTCCTAAGGTGCCCGCTCGATTTTAGCTGGGGAGCTGTTGTTTTCAGAGTGATCTCCTCAGCATAACACTCATCCAAGAGAAACTGAATCGTGGATGGCTTTTGTACTTTGTGCTCTTCAGGCTCCTCGCTCCCTTGGCCATTCCAGAAAAGCTAAGAGATTGGTTCGAAGAACGCCTTGATCTGTTTGTCTGTCTGCCTTTTGGACTGTATGGAAGAAGCTCTTTTCCATTAGTCTGGGGTCCCCTGAAGGTAGGATACTCATTTTCCATTCGAGACAATTTTCTCCGCGCCGAGAAGGCTCCGGTAGATCCCTTTGCTCCTCCCGTCACCCAGGCCAGCCAGCAGTGACTCTTCAGGCTATTCGGTGGCTTCGGAACGATCCCAGCAGAGTCACCCCGACCTCTGGGGTTTCCTGGCAAGGTGTGCAGACCGACGAACCCCTTCAGTGCTCTTTCATCAGATACTGTTTTACATGAATTGTATTTATATCTTTTGTATCTTAATGAAAATAAACTAATTTATAAATTTTAAAACTTTCATTCTAAAATTCTTTTGTAGGATTTTGCAGTCACTTGTGGGTATTTATTTTTGGTCCTCCCGTACTACCTCAGTTTCCTCCTGATTGGCCATATTTCACCTCTCTTCTTATTTCCCCTTTTCCTTTATGATTCTCAGTTCCCTCTTCCTTTGTAGTGTTTTTTACATGTATGAGAATGAATGTAAGATCTGCTTTTTTCCCACCACCAGGAGGTCTTCCTATGCTGTTCTTGATTCCTATTGGATTCTCTCCTTAAGCTATTTAAGATGTATGACTCTCCCTACGGGGAGATAGAGTGGTTGCAACAATCAGACAAAACAGCTCTTGGTGTAGGCTTTGATGCAAGCTGTTCACCATCTCTTCTCCCGAACTCTTTCCATCTCAGTCAAATTAGGTATAGTTGGGAGGGAAACCTGTGATTTCCTCTTAATAAAGCAATGTTAATTGCCATTTATTTACTTTTGCATACAACTCTAAAATCCAGGAAATCCTCAGAAGAGCTTAGAACAAGCAAAGAAGCATATAGACCTCTTAAGTGTGGATCCTAAAGGCAGGCACAGCAGACTGTGAAGCCCTATGGAACAAAAGCCCTTCAGTGTTGGAAGGCAGAGACCTTATGCCAGCTGTTACTCTTTAACTCCTGAACTGCACAGTACAGAGTTCTTGTCTTCTCCTTCTGTCCCTTAACATGTGCTGTGTCGCAGAGTTACTGTTTCCCTGCTGGAGGTTGGAAGTCACTTCGGTCCTAAAACGGGAGGAAAACGCATCCAGACACCAAGCCACACATTACCAAAATGTGTTAAGTTAAGGGCTTTGATGGTGCCAGAGCCCTGGCACAGGCTGCCCAGGGAGGCTGTGGAGTCTCCTTCTCTGGAGATCTTCCAAACCCGCCTGGATGCCGCCCTGTGCCCCGTGCTCCGGGTGTCCCTGCTGGAGCAGGGGGTTGGACTGGATGATCCCTAGAGGTCCCTTCCAACCTCAGCCAGTCTGTGATTTTACTATAACCGTTACCTACATTGGTACATTAATATTTAATTTAGAGATCATATACATGGATGATTATCTTCTAGAAGATTGAATTGAAGGAAACATAAAGTAAATGAACGAAGTGGACCATTGCGTGCTCTACAACAAAACCACTTAAAATGCAGAGAAGAAAAAAAAAGATTCATTTTCTTAATGCTTGAGTTGAGCCCTGTGTTTATTAAAGTGCATATTTTACTGTGAAAAGCGATTTGATTTCAAAAGCTGGATATCAAAATCATAGAGCTAAATAGAGTTAAGGGGGGGGGGTGAGGTCTGATCAGCTTGCCCGGCCCCCTCCGCTTCCTGTCCTAAGCAAGGTGGTTTCTCCCACCGACACCGCCACAAAGGAGAGGAGGAAACCGAAGCGCTCCGTTCTCGGGAGTGGATTTCCAGCCACCGGGCTTCTGCAAAGCGCTTGCACGTTGATTCATAGGAAGGAATATGATTCAATTCCTTCGCTTCTGAGCTACGTTGATACTGCCGGGGAATGGCAGCATTAGTCACGTTATCATCAGACCCGGCCTAGCGTTCACAGAGGGAGCAGATGTGATGAGAAATGAGCTACCTTTTATATATCGTCATTTTATTCATAAAATATTTTAATAGGAGTTAACAGAAGCAGTAGCTGGATGAGATCATTATAGTGCTTTATATAAAGAAAAAGGGCTGAATTAATTAATTGCATCTTATTTATATTGTAAATACTTCTGTTTCCTACAGTTGCATGAGAAAACTTCTTCCTTAAGTTACTCATAAAATAATGGCATAGCATTACAGAGAAAGGTAATTGTACTTAAAAGGATTACCAGCCCTAGTTATCTTCAATACCACCAGCCTCAAAAAAAAAGTTATAAATAAATAAATAAATAAATTGCCTTCCTAATCTTAAGACATAATTTTTTTTTGAAGATGGTGGGTTTTCCCAACTGATTTTTGAGGCTTTAGAATGCATTTAGATCCTCTTTTCAGGCTTTGCTACGTAACTTGAAAGAGTTAGGAATGTTTTAGGTTTGGGTGTTGCTTGCCAAAAGCTGCGATTTTTCTCAGTCCATTTCCTGAACAGAATTCAAACAAAGAAAAACAACTTGGTAGCAACTCTGGCACGGGTGGTTGTTTGCACAGGTCGTTATTTGCACCCTACCGTCACAGATGGCTGTGTCACCTGCTGGAGATGGGAAGAAGTTTGATTCCTTTGCCATTTCAGCTGCTCTGTGTCGAAAGACCCTGATAGCATGTCTTCATATTCACTAAATCTGCAGTTCTGCTAGGACTGTCTGCTCGTATGCTGGTCAAGTGTTTTTAATACACATATGACTTGGAAAATAGATCATTTTTTTGCTGCATTATATGTTTTTTGCTGTCACGTGGTTAAAACCCTCTACTATGCCTGCACTTACCAGGGTATACAAATTGTAGACAAAAAAAATATACACAGTTAAAAATGAACTGAACTGTACAAAAAATTATCATTATTCCTTGCCTGGAGGGCCAGGGGTTGGGACCCCTTGAGCTACCCGGTGCAGAGCAATCAACCCTCCCCCCACATCTCCCTAAATTAATGTAGAGGGAAAAAAAAGGACAACAGAGGCAGGAAGGCAAAGATGTATTCGGGAAGAATGGGGCAATGCCGAATCAGGGTGATTCATTTTCACATAGCAGCCCAAAAGTAGTTTTCTCCAGCTGTCGTAATACGCAGTAGGGATTTTGCAGTCACGATTCCATAACCGTGATTGCTGTGCACGTTACAATGCAAGGGCGATAGGGACACGGGGGCAGCGAAACCTGCGTGCAGAGGCGCTGCCCCAGGCAGAACTGGCCGAGCTCCCCTGGCTCATTTCTGCCTGCGGTTTGGCTTTCCCAGATGTCCAGAGTGATCCATCTCCAAGCACGGCGCAGCAAAAGTAAAGGAATGCTGATAAAAACGCAACAGCCGGGCAGCAGAAGCTGCCAGTGACTGATCAAAGGTGTAAGTGGCTGCTGAGTAGGAGACAGGAGGAAACGATGTAGGAAGGGCCTAGAGTGGCCCTAGTGAAGATAGGCTGTGTCTGCTGCCGTTAAACAAGTGGGTGGTGGGAGGCAATGTCTGTAAATATCCATGGAAAGATGGGATAAAAGCAGCCGTCCAGGACCACAAGCAGGTGCCCCCCATGTGTATGGCTGTGAGGAAAGCGGAGCAGGGCAGCAGGCGTGAGATGGGAGTTCACCTGGGAACTGACTGTAGGAATGGATAGGGAAAGAGCAAGTTCCACACAAGGTGGGATCAGACCTAGTCCCGGATAACCTGCCAAAGCGCCAGGCCGGCTTCACCGGTGGCTTCATGCCGGTTCTCGGAGCGTGTGTGGAGCCGCACGGGGTGTCCGGGTAGTGACGGGATGTGCCTTGCAACAAAAACCGGGGCGCAAAGGCACAGATGGAGCAACACGGAATGTGAGAAGCCCCGCAGAAAAGCAGCTTAAAGTCGATTATTTGCAAAAGTAACTGGAAGAGGAGAGGGAAGAGGGGAGGGAAAGCAGCAAGGACAGTGCTTTGCTTTTGGGCGAGCCGCTTCCTTCCCGGGCTGTTCCCGGCGCAGCGGGCCCGCCGGCAGCCGCCCGTCCCGCGGGGCCGACGAGCGCCGCGTCCCGGCACAGCGGCAGCGCTTCCCACCGCGGGAAAGCCGCGCTCCCAGCCTCGCCCCTCGCCTCCGCGCCGCTTTCCGGAGCCTTCCCGGGGCTCCCGGCCCGTCCGGCCCCTTCCCTTCCCTCCCCTCCCTCCGCCGTTTCCCTTGCGGACGCCTGGAGTTTCCTTCCTGTGTGCGGGGCAGCGCCTGCCCGGCCGCTCTTCCCGCCCTGCCCGGCCTGCGCCGCTCCCGCCGCTCCGTCCCGCTCTCCCTCCTCCTCCTCCTCCTCCTCCGCAGGCTCCACGTGGGGCGGCAGGGCTCTCCCTCCCTCCCTCCCTCTCCCGGCCGCGTTCATCTCATACCAGCCCTCATTCCTCGCATTCCTCCTTCCGCACTCCAGGGGAAATAACAACAACAATATATATAAAAAACTTTCCTTCCTTTCCCGCCGCTCCGGGGCTGCAGCCCGTGCCTGCCGCCCCCAGGGCGCCCCGCAGCCCCGGCCACTTTCCCCCCTGCTCGGGGCCGGCCCCGCTCCCGGCGCCGCGGGGCAGGAGCAGCAGGAGGAGGAGGAGGAGGAGGCAGGCGCGCGGCCCGAGCCCTCCTCTCCCGTCGCACGCAGGGAGTCCTGGAGCGCCAGGAGGATCCGCAGCCGCTTCCCGCCGCCCTCGCGGAGCCGCCGCCGCCGCCGCCGCGCTCCGCGTGCTCAGGTCGGGACGCGCCCGTTCCCGGGGGCTTCCGCGGGGCCAGCAGGACGAGGAGGAGGGGAGGGGAGGCGAGGAAGGCTGTGCAGGCGCTCCCAGGCGCGGAGCTACAAAGGAAGCCATGGGGAGCCCTCCATGGAGGCGGCTGCCGCTTCCAGCCGTGCCGGCGGGACCCGCCGAAGCGGGAGCAAAGCCCGAGGAATTCCCGCGGGGAAGGGCGGCTTCCCGGGCCCCTTACGGAGGGGTTTTGGCGGGGAGAGGCTATCAGGACGGCCTGGAAAAGGGGTGTAATTCTTACTGTAAGTTCTGGAGGATGTTGGAGGGGGGAACAAAAGCCCGTCCATGAGAAAGCACTTTTTTTTTTTTTTTAATCTATGACTAATATCAAAAGATAACTTAAAGAAAAAAAACAAAACCCAAACTTTTCCTACGTAACTTATTCAGAAGTTAGACCTGTTGAAATTTGGGAAAACCCTCGGGAAGGGGGTTTTGCTTCAAACGAAGCAAACAAAGCTCCACCAACTTCTCCATTGTCTCATGTAGATAATTCCACTTAAACAGCTCCTTGCCTTGATGCTGAAGACGGTGCTCGCTTTTTTATTTTTATTTTTTTTCCCTCCTCTTTGTTTCTATCTCTTCCAGGAGCGAGGGGAATGTAACTTTTTTAAGACTTTGGTAAAGTTCTTTAAGATGTTTCAAATATATATATTCTTAAAAACAAAAAAAGTGGAAGACAACGTGCCTTTGTTTTGCTTTCTTTTAACCCGAAGTTACTTCAGACTTTAAGATACGAGCTCTCTGAGCACTCCACAAATAAACGGCACAGGGGAATAGATGGGAGAGAGGGGAGAAAACGAGATTTTTTTTTCTGTCTTTTTTTTTTTTTTTTTTTTTTTTTTTTTTTTTTTTTTTTTTTTTTTTTTTTTTCGGAACCAATTTGTTTCCCGGGAAAGAGGGAAGAAAAAAAAAAAAAAAAAAAAAAGAAGAAAAAAAAAAAAAAAAAGGATTTCTCCACCCTCCCACCTCCTTTGAGATAGGAGCCGAGTGGGGCGTTTTTCACCTGCCTTGTCCGTCTGCGTAAACGTTGGCGAATTTGTGGGTCCTGCCTCTAAAGAGGGCAGCAGAACAGGGCACAGGGAGAGAAGGAACAAGGGGCAAAGCGGAGTCTGGTGGGGAATGAAGGGTTAGGGGCGGGTCAGGCTGCTCTACGACCAGCAGTAAAGTTCAGGAGCAAAAGACTTTTGCGACAAAAAGCCCTTTCGGTCGCGATAGCTTTTTTTCCTCGCGACGGAGGAGAGCGCGGCTGTGCGGGCCGAAGCCGGAGGGGTTTCCTTATGGGAGCTCCGGGATGCTGGGGGGCCTGGGGAGTCTCCTGGGAAGTTGGGCTCTCGGGCGAGATTAAAGGCGCGGAGGCAGTTTAAGGGCTTTTCCAAAATCCCGGTCTGGATTTTTCACTCAGGCTCGAGTGTCTGTAATCTTTGAACGCTCACAGCCTCTCGGGGGCGATTCCTGCAGGAATCGGGGTGCAGGAGAATTCCTGTTGATGATAAGTGTTGTTTCCTGCCCTCTTGGCTTCCTCGTACCGCTTTCAGATTTAATTGTCAGTTTTAAAGAATTTTTTAAGTTATTACAGTGGCTAAAATAGGAATATCTCAATATTCATCTAGCATGGAAATTCTGTGGAAAGCTGCGTGAATAGCATACGACCAAGCTCTGAAGAGAAGAAGGGCTCCATGGCACCGAGTTTTGCTTGTGTTTAGAACAAACTTGCCTTCTTGTTCTGTCAGTCAGATGTTTTACAGAAGTCATAGAGTAAGTAGAGTTATCAGAAGGCTGTTGAAAACTGCAGCCTCCAGGAGCTCCTGGAGCCTGAAATTATTGCTGTTTGGGATGATGCTCTACTTGTCCTCGCAGCTTTTCTTCCTTACTAACGTGTGGGTTATTTCCTTTTTTTCCATCACGTCAGAGCTAAAGGGGTGGGTGAACAAGTGTTCTAGCCTGGTACTGCTGAAGAAAGAAGTTGTCCCCACAGCTTCCAACTGTGTGCTTCCATCCTGGTGGAACTTACTTCCTGGGGCACTGGAGTGTATTTGCACTTCTAGTTGCCAGCCCAGGTTGCTCCCGTGGGAAGGAGCTGATCCCAATGAAAAATAATCTTGACCAAGTTAGTTTTGAGCCGGATCTGTTCCATAGGCTGGTTAACCATATGCTCACCTCAATGTCAGTGTATGCGGGTGATGAGGCACAGTGACTAGAGCGCAGTGGCAGGGAAGATTGGGGCTGTTTCTCCTGGTCGCGTTGCCATCCCATGCCAAGTCTTTGGGAACGTTGTACTCTCGACTAGGCCCGTAGGCACTTCTGTGCTAGTCGCAGGATTTTCAGTGTTACTCAGTCTTACTTGGCCACTGACCTATATCTTAGGAAGGCAACAGTTCAGTGTTGCCCCATCCCTACAGCTCAGGTTTGTCCCTTGTCTGTTTTTCTGCTTTGTTTTGTTTTTCCTTCTAAATACCCCATAGCAGATCTGCCATTAATTATCACAGGTGTTTTATTACGAGCCTGGTGTCATCAAGAAACGTTAGCTGACATTCGGACCAATTCAGACAGATTCTTCTGCAACAGTTTTTTGCCTTGGTGCATTTTAGAATAACTGTTGTTTCTTTGCTTCTCTTTTCTTCCCTCGTGTTCTCTTTTTCTTTTTTTGGGGGTGTGTATGTGTGGTCTTTGCACCTTCTAACTTGTTACAGGCTACTAAGCAGATTGTTTTTAAAATTTTTCAATATCTGCCATTCAGGCCTAATGATCGCTGTGATACTTCTGAACTATCACCTCACACGTTGGAGCTGATTCGTATCTCTCCTCTCCGTTGTATGGAGTTTTTGATGAGGAAAGGCAAACAAAAGTTACCTCCAAGTACTTGCTTTGTAAACTACTCTTTTAGTTATTGTCTCTCTTGCATGTTTTGTGTCCCTGTTTCTGACAGAGCTTTTCCTTGACTTGATTTATCTTCAGTTCTCTACTGGTGTTTCTTCAGTTTCTTGGCCTTAGTTTTTAGTTATTTGGGGATTTTTTTCCCCTTTTTCTTTTTTTGAACTGTCTGAATTCCCTTGAAGTGTCTCTGTGCACTGGAGTTTGTAAACTTCATTCTATCTCATCTGCAAATTCCATTAGTCTGCCTATTTCCAGGCTTTTAGACTGGAAATTAATAAAACTGGACCAGCACAGATCCCTGTTAAGGCTGGAACATGAGTATATGCCATTATTACGTTTGAACTCATTAGTTAATTTACTCATCATACAAGCAATACCCTCCAAGTGATTGAAATAACCAGCTATGGTTTGCTTGGGGAGCAGCAAACGCTATTCTAAATGTAAACCCGTCCCATCATCCACTGTATTCCTTTCATTCCCTAGCTTTATAATAATCCTGTCCTCCTTTTGCAGAACAGTTGGGCTTTACAAAAGGGCTTTTCAAAAATCAGCCATGTGCTTGAAGGGAGCTCTGAGGTTGGGAGATCTGAGACTACCTGGTGAGAGGGTTGGTGTTTCCTCTGTCTTTGTTTTTGTTGTGTTTTGCTCCTGCCCCGGGGCTCCTCCTTTTTCTGGAGATGATGCAGTCAGTTCCCTTTGTTTTTACACCATGTGAATTAGAGGTTTTCCTGATCGGGCGGGGCAGGTTTTCCAGTTCCTGGTGCCACTGGCTGAGTCACTGGCTCTGTTTTCTGTTAGAGTTTTATAGTTACCTTGATAGTATCTTGGAATATGATTGCCAGTAGCTAGGTGTTTTACTCTGCTTCGGACGGGCGTGTGAGCGGCTTTCAGAGCCTGGATACAAACCCTTGCAACTTGTGCTTTGCTCTTGCTAAAGAGAAGATAAATTACCGCAGTCCTCAGAGTGCTCCCTTTCAAACAGCAGGGTAACCATTAATGGCAAATGTTCAGGCAAAGTTTAATCTATTACAACCAGAACTGCTGTGCTTTAACCGAAGGAAAAGTCAGGAGTGCGCTGAGTGTCCATTAACTGAGGTAGGAAAGTGCAAATATAGGATGATTTACTGATAGGTAAGTCGGTCTTACCTGAGCATGCCCCTCCTGAACAGGTCCTTGAAGTAAAACTCATTGGTATCAGAGTGGCAGGATCTAGGGAGGCTCTCAGGTAGGGGAAGGGAGGACGAGAGGGGTAAAGCCGGTTTGCCTGAGAGGACTTGCTCCTTACCCAGCACTTTCTGCTTCATCTTTCTAATTAAAAAAGAAAGTTATTTCCCCTCCCCCGTTCAGGTGTGACACATCTACCCAAACAGAATGAAATAAGTGCTCAGAAAAGGGAAAATTGCCGCCTCGAATGCATCAGGGAAGCCAGCTGTGAAAATCAAGGCAGCAGCCTCTCTTGTTTCTGCCACTTGGTTTTGGTCGCAGCTCTGGCTTGTAAGAACACGCTCCCCAAAACGGAACCGAGCCTTTGTGGGCAGTGTCCCTTTAAGACTCTGGTTTTGCTTGGCTGGCTGCCCTTGTTCCCCTGTGGATTAATCCCGCAGAAGGTCCATAACCTGCTGACCTTCCTGGGGAGAAGGGACTGGAAGGGCAAAGAGGGAGCTTAGAAGGTTGGAGCTCTGCTGTCACTTCGAGGGGTAAGTTTAACTTGTGTTCTTCATCCTTCTACTTTGCTTTTCCCCCCCCCCCCCCCCTTTCTCTGCTTGGTGCTTCCAGATTGAGGGTTTGGGCTGTAGTTACAGGTGCTCATGGTGTTTGCTTGATTTCCATGAAATCTATATATAGCTGCTTGGAAATAAGAGTATATTTGCTGCCCCAGTTCAGAGGGAAGGGATCTGACCCCCGAATTACACTAGTGTCAGTTAAGGACTCACTTAAGGGCTCTCCCACTGCCAACCGGTGGGAGAACTGTCTAAAATGGCTGGAATCTCCTCATCTGTTGGGAAGATTGAGAAGCCATTATGGAAGGACAAATTCAGTGACACTTCTCCCGAGTGTCAGCCTTTCAGAAATGATCTTTGGAGCTGTCAGCAGAGCGCAGAGCTGCTCCGTAGGCAGGAGCGAGCAGGGATCGTTCATGGGTCCTCCCTGTTGCAGGGTTATTCCTTAGTTTTCGGCATTGGTTTATGAAAATCGCCCGACACCTTTTAGCTCCTACAGGGCACGTGCTGAAGTGGTTCCATCCTGCGGAAAAGCTGTTAGCTCTGGTTCAGCTGCTGCTCTTGTTGGAGGCCGGCTGTTATCCTGGAGCTGAATGTTTTCATTGCTTTGGGTGAGATTTGAGAAGGGATCAGCGTCTGTCTCATGTCTGAATTCACGTGAAATTTTGCCATTAGTGTCATGGTAGATGCTTGATAGATTCAAAGGATTGGCAATTTCCAGAGAATAATAAACTTAAATCCTAAGAAAACTGAGTCCTTTTGAAGTTAAAGCACCTGCATTTGCCAGTTGCTTTAAAGGTAACCTTTTTCCTTGCCTTGAAACACTCGATTGGATTTTGCTTTTATTTGTTCGTTCATTTGTTTGTTCACTTTCTTATGCTATAGTTTTTCATAGGTTAAATGGAGGATGACTCGGGCAGTTGAGATTTTCAGAGAACTGACTTACAGTAGATTTAGAGCAAAACTTTTTTAGGTTCCTGTTAAAAGCTCCCTATCTTTTAATATTAAGCTAAAGATTACTCTTTAGGAAACTCTTAAACATGCTTTATTTCTGCCTTAAATTTGATTTGGTAAGACCTGAGCCACTTAAATCAGTCTGTGAAGTTGCCTGTACCCGAAGAGCCAGTCATGCCTTAAACACGTTAGTTAACGCTATTGATGATTCCATAAGGGAAAATGAACGTGCTTATTGAGTTTCCTGGGTAATTCCTTCCCAACCAGCTCCACGCTTGTTGGGAATAGAACAACTGCTAGTAAAGGGCTGGTTAATCTTTGGCCTTGTGCTGTTTGGGAAGCCGAGAGACGCGTGTCTCGGGATGGCGGGGAGGAAGGGAGCTCTGGGAAGAGCTCTCACGTGGCAGGTAGCGATGCCTCCCCGGCATGGCCCTGTTCCCTGAGGGCTGGGCCAGCCCCTTGTTTGCTGGGAGCCATGTGGGTGCCCCATTGCTGGGGCAATGTGGGTCTTGGTGCCCTGGGCAGCTCCTCTTCCCGCCCAGCCGAGGTGTAGGTTGCCCAGCAGTTGTTTTGTGGGGTCCCTTGCTGGTGCCCTTGGAATTTAATTCCCTGGCACGGGCTCCGTGCGAGCACTCTGTGGCTCTCCGTCCGCCGCCGGGGGTAGTGAGAGCAGAGGCAGCCTCTGGGTGGGCAGGCGCCCTGCGTGGACGCTGTGCAAGGCCTTACACGTGCGGCCTATCCCATCCCATCCCATCCTGCCTGGCTACCTTATCCAGGCCTGTTCTGGTAGCCATTCTTGTCTCTCCCGGTTTTGATTCCTATCACTGTGCCGGACGCTGCATCCTCTCTCCGTTTTGGCCAGAGCTCTGCCGCCGCGATAACTCAGACGTGGGTTTTGCTGCACTCCGTAAGTCAGGAGCCCTTGGAAGAGCAGCTGCTGCTGCTGCGGGCAGTTTCCGCGCTCCAGGCAGCCTGAGCGGGATCCTTCACGGCGCTGCGTGGGAAGCGCTCTGCCGGAGCCCGGATGCGATCCAAGGCTGCGACTGCCCCTTCCTGTGTAAAATGCTTTTGTTCAGTGCTTAGAAAAAGGCTAAAATCTCCGGGCACAGGCTGCAGATGCAGTGTGATGATTGTATCACCTTGTCTGATGCACACAGGGAAATCTCAGCTCTCCTCTCCCCTTTGCCTGCCGTTGTGCTGCTGCTT